TTCGACTGGGTCCTGTCCTTTGAGGCCCTGGCAGGCACCGGTACGGCAAAGTCAAAGCTAACCGGTGCAGTTACCTGAGTCCGCTTGTGGCATGTGGTACAATCGGTAAAGTCAATGGCATACCGCAGCGGTAGCAGTGACGAGTCGTCATCGTGCCATCGTCGTGGTGGCAGCTTGTAGTACTTCGCAGCAATAGTCGGTGGTGTGGGTGGTGCCGCAATTGCAGCAGTGATAGTTATTATTGTTGCGGTCGTAACACCATACAGCAGGCAAACCCCGGAAACGTGGGTTTGCATGGTTGGAGGGCTTGCGCGGCTTCCCTCCTTTTTCAGGCTTACACCCTATAATAGCTTGAGATGTGCTAAGCATGGGAGTAGTTCAAGCCTGAGTCGCCATGAGCGTGTCTCCGGGTCCCAGCATCAGGTCCTGACAACATGAACAACGATATGGGCCAAGACGAATCACTGGTTTATCTCTGCCCAGAACCAGACATACCCAATGAAACTGCCCGAGAGTTGAGGTGCCAGGGAGGACAACGACGGCAAGAGCTGCTTCAACTCTTCTCCTCCTTCCTGTACTCCTCCTCCGTCCTCCTACTCCTCCACCACCTTGGCTCCGTTGACCGGTCCTGAAGGTCCAAGGCAGCAGTGATTGGCAACTCCTGGGCCTCAGACGCTTCTGCGACAGCACTTCGAAACCCACCAGTCAAAAAAAATGTACCTATGCATGCACGCATGTAGGCGTGCAGGCATGTAAATATGTCCGTAGATATGAATGAAAGTATGTGTGTAGGTAGATATGTATGTACGTGTGTGTGTGTGTATGTACGTACGTACGTACGTACGTATGTATGTATGTACGTATGTGTGTACTTATGTATGTATGTGCAACATGTGTGTGTGTGTATGTAAGCATGTACGCGTGCATGCGTACATGCACGTATATGTGGTATTGTGTGAGGCATGCTTTGTGAACATGGAATGAAATTTTTCATTGCAGCTTCAATAAAAACATGTGGCGATGTGCGTTTGATGGGCCGAAGTAGCATCTGTCCACTCCCTGGAGCCTCCAACCATCAGTATAAGTGCCACACAGTGCTGGCCACCTGCGTGGGCGGAAAAACCTGCCGCGCGTGAACCGTCGGCAAGACTGCCTCCCCTCCACAGCTACGAACAGATGCTTCGGCACGGAACCCAAAGCCTAATCCTGACGTCTCGGGAACCGCCCTCTGCCCTGCTTCAGCAGCTACACGGGAGCTCGCGGAGAAGAACGCACCAGGCATGTCTACTGTAGAAACGATGTCTGAAAACGATGAGTATGTGGGAGCTTTCCGCACTTACGGAAAGCAAATTTCTGTGCAAGCTGCCACGGCTTCGCTCACAAAGTTCGCTGAACCAAATGCTCTGGCCTGTGTACGACATCGATCCACAACTGACCAAATCTTAACCTGGCTTCTCCGATACTTTTGAAGATCAGCACGCCGCAGGCGGTCGTTCCACGAGGCTGATTGAACTTGCTCGCTCTTCTACTCACGCCCTCTAGATTTTAAAACATGCTCCAACGAAGTCTCTCCGTCAGTCAATCGATCGGAATCCTAAGCTACATGCGATTGAGGTCCACAGAGGCCTCATCTCAGCATTTCAGGTACCTCAAACTGCTTTCATCACTACCGCAGCTCCCGGCATCTCTCAACACACGTCGAGCAGACTCCTGGCGAACAGACACGAGGCTTCTCGGGCTCTCTGCAGGACTTGCAGGGTGCTAGATCCGGCACTACCCTGCAACTCTGTCACTCAAAACACTTCAGACCACATCATCTGCATCGCAAGCGGGTATGTACTTAGCAAGCGTTTGTGGCATCAGCAGTGTATCATCATCTGCCTCTTGGCGCTACTCCACAGCGCTGTTATGCATATCCATGGCCCTCCTCCAGCAGTGGCAATGAAGGGCATACTCGAAACCCTCTCTCTCACTCTGTCTACACAGACACACACACACACGCAGATATATATATATATGTATATATATAGACACTCACACCTACACATACATGTACAAAGAAACATTGTGCGTATACATATATATATATATATATAGACAGAGGCAGAGAGAACGCGAGAGTTTGCGTGCATGCATTCAACCATCCATCCACACACACGTGCATACGTACAAGTACGTACATACATACATACATGCATGCATGCATGCATACATGCATACACTTACGTACAAACATACATTCAAGTTCATACAAGTACACATAGACAAGTACGAAAACACAGACGTAAATGCATGCATACATACACAAGCACCGAGTAGCGACTGATCCATGAATCTACATGTAAACGAGCACAGGCACATAACATCACATTGAATGCATACATACATACATCCATCCATCCATCCATCCATCCATCCATCCATCCATGCATACATACATACATACATACATACATACATACATATATATATATATGTGTATATGTTCTAATATTATACACATGTTTATTACAATAGCAGTAATAACATTAATAAACACATGCATGTATGCATATTATGTATATATGCAAATTACAGTGTGTGTGTGTATATGTATATATATATATATATACACAGATAGTTAGATATACATAATATACACATACATATACGCACCTACAAGTGTAAGTATGCCTATAGGCCTGCATACGGCCTCACCTATTGCCATCCATACCGTGAAACCCACCACCACCACAAGCAGCATCATCATCGTCACAGCCGTAATTAATTGCGATAATAGCATAGTACCAAGAAGAAAGCTGAATAAACATACACATGAACACATGAATGTGCATATGAATCCAAAAAACCTGGCACCCAAACCCTAGCCCCGTAACCCCTCACAACCCTACACCCTAAAACCCCAAACTTTAAAACCTTAAACCCTAAACCCTGACCCCTAAACTCTGAACCGTGAACCCTAAAGCACCGGGGCCTTGCTTCCCGGAAGCCGTGTCCAGTCGGCAGAGGGGCGTTGCCTTGCCGGATCAGGAGCACCGTCTGCCAGCCGGCCTGTGCAGGGGCTTTAGGGTTTCGGGTTTAGGAGTTTAGGATTCAGGGTGTGGAAACATAGAGTGTGCGTGCGGTGGGTGCGCCGTTTACTTTAGGAGTAGGGGCCAGAGTAGGGGCACACCCACTTATCGCGCGCTTGCATCAGCATGTAGGCCCACACCAACCGCAAGACTATTCTCAATTAGGGCTTAGGCGGGCTTAGGGTTCACCCCCAAACCCCCCCTCAAGGGGGGTTTTCTTGCTCTCTGCTTCCCCTCGTGACACATAAACGCAGCAAGCCGCAGTTGAGATGGATCGGTGTTGAGATGGATTGGTGTCGGGTTGTGGGTCCTCGCGCCTGTGCTGGCCGCTCGACGAGAAGCAAGGGTTTCCAACAAACAACTCGCCTCTCGTAAGAAGTGTAATCACCTAGCCCCCCGTCAACCCACCACACAATACCAAAACCCGAGAGATCGCACCTCAGCAGGAACACGAAAGGGGCCATTTTTCCAGGAAATCCACCCTGTGGCCCCAGACGTGCTGGGACCCCAAACCACCCAAAAAGCACAAATGCCTGAATGGTACGGGATTTGGGGCCCTCATTATGACGGGCTGGCTGGCTGACGCCCGCATTGCGCGAGGCGTAGCCGAGTCATTTCTGTCCCCGTCCGGGAGGCTTTACCCTCCCTCACCGTCCTGTCGGGACGATCGCATGCAAATGGTCAGCGGCGCTCTCGGCAGTTTAGGTTTAGGGAAGCTTCAGGGTTTTCGGGTCGTCTAGGGCTCATCTGGAAGTAGTCTGGAAGAATGGCCGGATCAGAGGGCGTTGGGGATTTTGGGGTTTAGTGTTTGAGAGTTGCTGATGCTTTTCTGGTGTACGCATGCAGTGGAACCTGGTGCGACGTCAGATATAGACAAGCATGCTTTGTCCCTTTTGTCGACCTTTGCATGTTCTGCCTTGGTTTGGTCGTTTTGGTGAGCTACTCGCCATTCAGTGTCTTTGTTCATGTCTGCATCCTTGCATGTATACATATGTTTGATGTTGACTCTATCTGTTCTTGCAGGGGTAGGGGTGTCTATAACTTCGGCACTCTTGACAACTCTGATCAAACCGATGCAGCAAAGAGCTTGCGCCCTCAATCTCATGCTGCTTTTGAATGCTTTGAGGCGTCTGAAACACCAAAAAGTAATCGAGTGACCCATGGTCTTGAGAAGAACCGTCGATCGACGGACTTCGTTGCTAGGGTTTTTGGTGGGCTTGACATGGGTCCCTTAGAGCCTTAGAGTCTGGGAGTCGAGGTGTAGAGGTCTCGGCTTCCTTGGCTCTGGGGTCTAGCGTCCGGGACTCTAAGGGATTCAGGTTTGGGCTTATACGGGCTTTTCCGGATCGAGTGCTCTTGCGGGCAATAGGCGTGTTGGCTTGAGCGTTTGGGGCAAGGTCTCGGCTTGTCTCCAGGGGTTAATTGGGGTCGGCAGTCTGTCGGGACATGGCAAGATGTCAGACTCTGGGGCCTGGCTTCCAAGGCTTAGGGTTTGGGCTTTAAAGGGCGATCTTTCCGCCCATGAGCAGGCACATCAACATGAGGGTCCGCAACTCCGAAGATGTCCCTAAATGCCTACATTCAAGTCAACAACCTCCCCGTATGCGCCGAGTGCACCTCCCGGGCGGCTTTTGCCTCGCCGAGGACGTCTGTGCAAAAGAGGCCTGTCTCGGAGAGCGTCTGCTCTTGGGAAGGTGACAAGTCCTTTGGGATTTCACTAGGAGTGCATTCTACAGCTTCGCAGGTTTGCTGACGTAGAGCATCTCACCTCCGTGTTCCGCAAAGCCTGCGTATCTGTAGTGGGTTAAAATGCTTTGCAAACACTGAACACGTGGTCGCCCACGCAGCTTCTGAAGGGTCTTTGAACTGTGGAGGTGCTGCTTCGGCATTCTGTGGTACAAGGATTCACCGCAAATCAGCTACTATCTCTCAGACTTCAGGTGCTGTTTCTCTGTCAAAGGAGAGCATGGAAGGATCAACGGCGCCTTGGCTGCACTCGATGCCCAGCGACAGGGCAATTTCCACGTAGGCCTTGGCCTCCTGTTTCGAAGCCTCGGCGCAGAGACATCTTCGGCTCTTGCTATAGAAACGGGCAAGGATGGGGGGCAAGGGTTGAGAATGCCTTGTCAATATGCCCCCTTTTTCGAACCTGCAAAAGCAAAGGGGAAACCCCTTCAGCTTGAGAAAACTGATCCGTTCAATTCGGTCGAAAGCCCTGAAGTCTCGGCAGCGGGCCTGTGCAGCTTTCGGATCAAAGTATGCCGCAATGTGGGGAGTCAGATCCCCTTTGTCCGAGTACTGAAAGATCAGCCTCTGCGCCTTCGCATGCTTCTTCTGCTCTGGTAACTCAAAGCCCTAAACCCTATAAACCCTAAACCCTAAACCCTGCTCTCCATCAGCCATAGCCCTTGTTTCAGCCTCTCGGCTGCCCGAAGAGAAGATCGCGACGCGCTGCCCAGCCGCCACCCAGGCAGCCATTGCTTTGGGCGTGTCCTTCCGGCATCTTTTCAGGGATTCCGGAGCCCTATGGAAGCTTACTGGGCTCTGCCAATCTGCTCTCGAGAGCTTGCTTGGCCTCAAACATCTCGCCCTGCAGCGCTCCCCGTTCGTAGCCGGATCGCCAAAGGCGTCCTTGCAGATCCTCATGGGGGTTTCAGTTTCAGCATTTGAGCGCGTGAGAGGGAGAGAAAGAGAAAGAGAGAGAGAAAAAACTGACAAGACCCGTGAGAGCGTTGACATCCAAGTGCCGTTTGCCAGTGTGCGTTATATGTGCATGTACACTGAGACACTGTCGCACCGGTCTTCTGGATCACAACAGTCCCATATTGGCATATCATGCAATTGCAAACCCCCACCGCCACAAAAGCCGGCAATGTCGTAGCACGGCCCACCTCCCCAAAATTCCCTGCCAGGTCGCAATACCAGTTACCGTACCGAAGCATGCTGCCATGTGTAGCTGTAGCCTTTGGAGGGGGAAAAAGCCCTTGCATTGAGGCACAGCATCGGCTCCTTCAAGGCAGGCACCTTGCGATCGTTTGCGATCCACTCCTCTGGGCAAGCAAGCTCACTTCTCTAAACTCTCTAAACCCTTACAATAAAGTAGCCCGTACACCCTATTATATGAGGTCTCCTTCGTCAGCCGCCGGACCTCCTTAATGGGCGCCAGCTTGTCAAAGGGCGCACCATCCTGAAGACATGGCTCCACCCAGTGTCTAAGGTATCAAGCTTTTGGCGGCAGGAATTTATCGAGAGTTCCTTTGTCACGCCACTCCCAAGCCCCAACCCATCTACAAACGTGGCTCTGTCCAACAGTGTCATAAGACAAAACCTTCGCACCCTCAGGGCGGCGACCGGTGCCTCCTGACACTGTGCCTCGAACTGCGCCACCACCTCCGCGGCCAGGAGCATAGCTAGTTGCTCGTGCTATATGAGACTATGACACAGTTGGGGATATGAGGTGGGATGTCGGCATAGTCTACAGATAGGGAGCTACCCTTCCGATAAGACCTATATATTCAGTGCAGGGATGGGAACTGTAGCTGGCGTTGCTTTTGGATCTTTTCGGTCAGTCTTGGATTCGCAATGCTTCGATCGCTTGCATGGAGCTTAAATATGCTATGCAGTCACGCACTTGGCCTGACCTATTGCAGAGTCCCACCACGTCGGCAAAAACATCCGTCGCTTAGCCCTCAACCCTTTCGTCTTCACACTCCAAAGGCATACTCAAACCCTACAGCCTCCAAACCCTCAGACTTTCGAAACTCGAGGCCTAAAAACTATACCCCAAGCTCTGACGCACGAGACCCAGTTTGCCCGACTCCGCCTCAGAGAGGTCCGGTCCGGCAGCGGGTGCCCAACCCTCCACCGAGGCAGCGGCGAACGGGAAGAGCTTATCCTGCAAGGGTTGGGGGGTTTAGGGGTCGAGGTTTCGGAGGGCAAAGCTTACAATGCCTTTCAAACCACACTCCCCAGATTCAACAAAGTTTCATGCTGTGGAATATCACGACATGCAGGAAGATGCGATGCACGGCAACATGCGGCGCCTTCCAGCTGGCTCTAGATTGATGTAGTTCACTATCGCAAAGCAGCGAAACGACACAAGCTTGTCAAATAGAATAGAGATGCCTGCCTCCCATGGAAACTCGAGGGGCTGGGGACTATCCAGCACTCCAACACAGAAGACTCACAGTCTTTTCCATGTTCATGGCTACACCAAGCATAGTCAGGGTCATTGATAGCAATGCCCACGTCGGGCTCAAACTATAGAGGCCCACTGATACCCTCCTTCACAAAGGAGATCGGCGTAGTGGTTCCCTCCACATCGAGCAGAACGACGGATGGCCCTGTGCGTTGACGCTTCAGCGGCGCCTGTCCATCCGGAGCTTGCGCGATGGCTCTGCCGCAAAACTGTTGTGGTTCCTGCAGTTGCTTTTAAACAGACACTGATGACAATTTCGATGAAGATCATAATCATAATGATGATGATGATGATGATCATAATTATAATGAGCCATAATGATGATGAGTATGATGATGATGACGACGGTGCCGCAGCTGCCCGAGCTTGCACGGTTCGGGGTTTTGGATTTTGGAACCCAGGCCTCATGTGGGGCTGCGCATTTTTGGTATTTCGCCCCCACCCCGCTCAAGCTGCTCCGCTGACCCTAAACCCTAAACCCTAACCCCTAAAGACTTAAACCCTAAACCCCTAAACCTCCAACCCTGAGCCCTAAACCCTAAACTCTATACCCTAAACCCCAAACCCCCGAAGTTTCCTGAGAGCTTCTGACATGCTAAAACTTTCAGCCAGGCCTGCAGAGCGAGGCGCCCTGAAGCCCTGAGGGCTTTGGGGTTTGGCACCGCGGGTTGAAGCTTTCGGGTTTTGGGCTTTAGGGTTTTAGGTTTTGGGCTTTGGGGTTTAAGGTTTTGGAGTTTAGGGCTTTGGGCTATTATAGAAGGGCTTAAGGTTTTGGAGTTTAACGTTTTGGGGTTCAGGTTTAAGTTTTGTATTTTGCGGTCCCTTTCCCAGCTGCGGGTAGTCGAAATTCCCTACCGGGAGGAGTACTGTGACGGCTGGGACCAGCACAGGGAGAAAACCAAATTCCAAAATCCAAACTCAACCCGAAACCCTGCCTCTCAACATCTCTCAACCGACACAAATGCACTGCGGAAGAGCAGGTCCAGAAATAGGGCACTACACAAGACACAGAACACACAGGAGCCGAACCTGCTTCAGTCAACAAGCTAGTCCAAACTAGTGTACAGCAGCAGACCTGTGCCGCACAACAAGATGACCCCCTGTCCCTTTCGCAAGAAAGTTTGCATCTCGAAAACCCGCCTTTGCATGTTGAGCCAAGGGATCCTGATTCTATAGGCCCCATAAGCAGAAGAGGAGTGAGCCACGTTCATGTGACACGGACTCGAGTTGCAAACCCTGTCTGTCCAACTTCGCTGCGCTTTCCCGGACTACGTAAGATTCAGGGAAGTACTCACCGCATGACTCTGCCAGCTAGATCAAGTGAGTCAGCCAGGAGGTTCAGGATGAAGAAGGGGGGGCGGCAACAAATAGATGGTAGACACAATTGCATCGTTGCGCTGTTTCAAAACAACCAAAATCCTGAAAACGCTTTTCAGTCGGCCTCTGCTTCTCCACCACATCCAAGATGAAGCCCAAGCACTCGGTGGCGATCTTGGCCTTCCTTCCAAGACTCGCGGAGTTTAGCCCCTGCTCCCATGGGGACGTGACCAGCTTTCCACCCAAAGTCTAGACTGCAAAGTACCAAAACCGAGCAATCCTGGCAAACCTGTTTTAACAGGCGCATCATTGCCAGATTCACCCTGCTGTATCTTTTGCCAGCCGGCTCCGCGGTGCTGCCGAAGACGTAGGCGCCGTGACCCTCAGCGGAATCAGGAGTCGCATATCTGGCGGGCCCTTACTGCAACTTGAAGGAGCCACTGCTGGCTGTGCGACCCAATGTCCCGCTCGCAGTTGCAGGAAGTGTGCCGTGCTTCAAAAGGCTTTAAGTACCCTCTCAGGATGTTTATGTTTATCAAGACAGATCACATTATACCATCCTCTTCCATGAACCTCTGCGAGCCAAGCAGCTCGAACCAAGACCGCCGGGGCGTTGGGGACCCGCTCCAGAGCCTTCAGGAGGTCCGGCACCAGCTCCGGCTCCCGTGCCTGCACCAAGGGCACATCGCCACGCTCTGCAGAGAATGAAGAGCATGAACTTCGTGGCAACCTCATCTCTTCAGGCCTTGTTGTCTATCACAGGCACTTGCAAGACCCCGTCGCCAGGGATCCCGAAGCCTTGAAAGCAGGCAGTCTGCAGGGAGGGAAGGCGAGGTGGAGTCTGTGACGACAGCACCCAGCGTCTGCTTCACAAGTTGTGCAGCTCTCGGTCAGTAACAGGGGACAGTTCGCGAAGCAGATGCAGGATCTCTGAAAGGGTTCCAGCAATGCTTTCATCGTGCTGTGATGAGTCGTCAGATGTACAGTTGGACAGAGCAGCAGCAACATATAGTGGTGCCTGCCGTTTTTGGACATGTAGGTCAGCGCCCTTGTAAGAGTCTCCGGGTACTCCAGCGCAAGACGCGGGCACCCTGACCCAGACAATCTGACCCGACCAGATCCCGAAACAACGAGGATAGCAAATTGGAGGCAAACAAATATCGTACATTGTATACTGTATAGTCAAAATCCATAGTTTTGGATTAGGACACTACTATATTACCTTAGCCTTAGTATATTATATGCATGAAGGGTGTATTCATTATGGTAGACTTAGATATACTCAATCTGACCATGGGCCGAGGTACCCTTGATCATCTCCAGCTCTCGCACCTCCAAGACCTGATCATGGCGGCCAGGACAGGGGCCCGAAAACTGAGAAGAGTGTTTTTTGTCTTTATGATTTTTGGGGTAATTATATTATGACAAAATGACAAAAAGATTGGGGGTAACTATATTTTGACAAAATATGACAAAAACTATGCAGGGACTACAAGGCTAAGGGAATGGTATCCCTTAGCAGGGTTCGTAGCCTTGTACGGAGATTCCCAAAGCTGAGCTGCTTGTAAGAGCAGACATCTTCCATGCTTAAGCATCTGAGCGGCTCGTGTCTACGATCCAGCGTCCCAAACTCTTAGCCTACGAGCTTAAAACACATGATGGCTATGAGCACACTCTCCTGTCCCGGCGGAGCCAGGTGATACCCGCAGAACTGTGTTGCTGAACACAAACGCCAAAAACATACTTCCTGACTGAAGACAGTTTGTATCCCAACACCCGAGCATCATCCGTCCTGGTCCGTGCTGGCCGCCACCAGGACGGAGGAAACCGAGTGGATGTGGCAAACGGCCCTCACGTCGGTCCTTGCCGGAACTGGCGAGAAAAGTACTGTACAGCTTCTGCAGGTTCATCAGGACATGGCCTTGCTGGTTCCTACCAGGTACTTAACTGCATGAATCAGCAAGCTGGCCTTTTCTCGAAAACGGCCATGAAGACCTGCGCGCTGTCGGAGACCTGGAACTCAAAGCAAACTCAATCGACCGCGAAACCCTCACTCATGTCGCTTCACATAAGGAATCCCCCTAAACCCTAAACCCTGTAGACAAAAAACCCTAAACCCTACAAACCCTATAAGCCCCATAAGTCTATAAGCCCTAAACCCTGCAGACCCTTTAAGCCCTAATATAAGGGAATCCCTCCCTGTGGAGCCCCCCTCCACGGCCCTGGGCCTTCAGGGCTTTGCTGGGCTCCTTGAGCTGCTCCTCTGCGCCCCCAGGGCCGGCAAGGAGGAAGAGGTCCTCTGCTTGTGTTGGGATTTTGGGATTCTTGGGTTGTGAGAAATTTGAGTCTTTAGGGGTTTTGGGGTGTTGGAGAGCTTTAGTGCTTTCGGGTATAGGGTCTTGAGGGCTGTATGGCTTCTCGACTTAAGGCTTAGGGCTATAGGTTTGGGTATGGTTTGGGTGTACATCTTTGGGATTCGCTGCGCTACTAGTGGACGTGGTCGCAGTAACACTCATTCTAGTACTACACGCAGTTACCAATATGAAAGATCCTGATATTTCTACTGAAAATGAGCAATTGTTGATCGCAATGCTAGCAATGATAGTTGAGATCAAGCAAAGGAGATGGAGAAGGAGCAGCTAGACCCCCTTCCAAGCGTGCTGCAAAACCTAACTTACAACCCTAAAACCCTCAAAAACTACCTGAAATCTGACCCCCAAAGCCGTAATCACTCCAAACCCTCAAGCCCCCTAGGCCACAAACAAAAACTCACTCTCCCTGGTCTAGCTTGCCATGGTCCGAGGCCTCCTCCGCCAGGCGCTCCTTGGGCACACCGCTGGGTGTGGAAAGCACCGGAGCGTGGGGGCCGCTGCCCACACGCGCGGCCATGGCCCCTGGGATATCTGGGAGTTAGGAAATGGATGGGGTTTAGGGTTTAGGGTAAATGTATGGGGCTGTAAGAAGGAGTCTAGTAAGGCAGTTAAACGAGGTTTGGGGTCTACACGGTGTTAAGCAAGGATATCTCTCTAATCTGCGGATCAATCTCTCAATATGTTTTTCCAGAGGGTTTTTGTCGGCGGCATTGGTTTCATTGTGGGCTCACCACCACCGAGCAGTTCTACAAGAGCTGTTGCATACGGCACGGTGGTGCTTGATCAGGTTGGGGTTTAGGGCTTAGGAGAGTTGTTCAGCACAGAGGGTCAGCTCAGACATGCTGAGGCCCGTGCCCGAAGAGCCAACGCACCAGCCCAGCTGGAAGAAGCTTCTCAAGCAGGCCCTCGGAGGTTAAAGCTTTGCGGATGCCTTGTCGTGTTCTGGCTTCATGCGTGTGTAGTAGACGTGTAGCAGGCCAGGCGATATGTACAGACATTAAACTCTGTATCATTCATGCTGAGCTTCTGCTTCTGCAGACAAAAGGCCCCAAGGACTCGCTAGCCACTCAGACAGGTGGTTGCCGCATGTGCTCTATTGCGGCTGTCCTTATCATTGCTAAAAGGACTTCCCGCAAACCCATCGCGACACAAACATCAGACGTGGATTTGGCGAGCTGTCGGCCCTGACAACATAAGAAGCCCCTCGGCGCCCAATCCCTCGTTCTGCAACCCCTTTTGAACCCTCGGCCCAAAACCTACTGCACCAAGCAATGCACCAAGTGGCACGATGTTGGCTCTCAACCTCTGCTCCTCGGCGAAATGCCCGAAACGGGCCAGGTAGCCTGGAATTCGCTGTTGGTCTTGGTCGGGGATGCAACCCTGTTTGCTCCAAGAGCCAAACATCAGAAGCCACCCTAGCCCGAGCGATAATCATAACTATGATACAAGCTTCGCTCTCGGGACAGGTGGGTGTCGGCTGGGCGGTTGATCGGAGTCCACACGGGCACCTCGGCTGGGCTGGGTTCAGGGTTTATAGGGTTTAGGGTTCATAAAGGGGGTTCGAAACTTAAGGCACAACTGCGCAAGTGGGCTAGGAATTGACTTGAGACGGCGAGTTTGGTGGGCTGCGAAGGAGGGCCGATGAGCCACGTGCCAACCAAGGAGCTCCTTTGAAGAGGCCTCAAAGCACAGCATCTTCCGTTCTAGGTTCTGAGCTCCAAGAGTCTGGGGTTTAGGGTTTGGGGGCTTATAGGGTTTAGGATTGAGGGCTTTTTATGGGCTATCTAAAGATGAAATTCCCTAGTCACCTTCGCAAAGGTAGGAGATGCCAAGGCCACGGCGCATTGCCTGGGTGAAGTTCTTCGTGTCCATGGTAAACCTGCACCACCGGGCATTTCAAGCAGCTTTAGGGCTAGCCCAGCTTCGGTCACTCTGAAGCTGCTATAGACTGGAAGGTACCCAATCAGCTTGTGGTCCCAAGGCCTATATGTTTGGTTATCAGTGTGACCTTTGCATATGCACAGGCAGCCGATAATCCCCATTCCTCTTACCTCTGGTCTCACATACATACATACCTACCTACCTACCTACCTACCTACCTACCTACCTACCTACCTACCTACACACATACATACCTACAGGCAGACAGACAGACGGACAGACGGAGAGAGACGGACGGACAGACAGACATAGACGTAGATAGATACTCATGTCTGGCAATCGTACAAGCTCTTCGGAAATCGCAACGAAACCGCAGTCTTGGGGCCTGTGGTAAATGCCCTCGGGGAGAACGATCAAGTCTCCCGCGTTGAGCTGAATCCGGATCCATTGATCCTGCACACGGGCATCGGCTAATTGATGGCAGTGCTGTTCTGGTTGCTACAACTACAATGTCGGCACCAATGTCTCCTCAAAAAGGCCCCTCTTACTAATACCTGGCTTGTGCTCTACGCTGGAAGGCTGCAACTCAAGCGAATGAATTCGAAGAGTGCTGCGCATGTTTTATACGATACCAAGCAGCTGCTCAAGACGGCGAGCGAGGCTGCATGGAGCTGCGCAGTACTAGACGGCAATGCTACAGTGACAATGCTACAATTCCTGCCGAAGCAGATGCTGCTGCAACCTCACAGATTTCAGTCGTTAGACAGTGGTGGCCGCACCTCGGTGTCACGCACGTCGAAGTACCCACTGCCCTTCAGGATGTACCGAACCTCCTGTGGAGCAGATGCTGCACGCTGCCGGATGTGGTTCTAACTATGGTGAGGAGAACAATCCAGCGCAAGCAAAGTCTATGTCCTGTTGCACACCGAGACTGTCACATTCTCCTATGGCACTGCTCAGGATGCCAGTTGGCTCCTCGTCAGAGTGGATGTGCTCCTCGAAGAAGGCTTTCAGCTTGTTGTGGTAGTCAGGAAGGCACTCCTGACAAAACGTAGGTCTGGGAAGCACCTCCTTAAATCGACCTATCAACACGAATCTCAAGTCCGTTCCGTCTATACCTCTACCCTGCTGCCAACAAAGGCGTCGGGCATCTGATCCTAACTTTAATGAGCCTCCAAATCTCAGGCGCCCGCTGCCTGCGCACTCGCTTGTGCAAGTGAACGACTAAGCCTAAGCCCATCCGGCCTCTGAGCAAGTGATGATGTCTGCATAGTTGTAGCCTCTTGCATCCCGGATCTGCTTCAGCTTCGTGTCCTGCAAATGTCTTTCCGCTGGAATCCCAAGGCCGCAAGCGTCTCAACAGATGTGCCAAAAACTCCCTAGTTCTTAGTAGGGAATGGGGGAATGGATCCCTATGATAGTCCCTTAAGGTCCCCTAAAAGGAACTAAGGATGCCTTTGCCTTTGAACGTGGCAGCCCTCGGAGCCGGGAGCCGTTCAAAGCGGTGTAGAGCGATTGAAAAGCATCAGCAAGACGTAAAGTGGGGATCATGAGCGCTGAACCCTGATGGTGATGTGGTGGTCGCAACGCGAATGATGATGGTTTTGGAAAACGGTGGTGGCGATGACAGGGTGGGTGATGGCGGCGGTGGCTGTGACGGTTGCGCAGGTGGGGAAGATGACGAAGCTGCCGATGATGAGGGTGCTGGTGTGCCGCGATTATGACGACTACGAGAGCAGTGGTAGAACGACGGTGAAAAAGACGATGAGGCAGCTAAAGGAAGATGATGGAGCAGTTGATGACTGATGCAGGAGTCCTGGATGCCACTCTGAGGCTCCCATGGCACCGCCTTTGGTGGATAGTTGCCTGAGGCAGCTTCGTGATTTGAAGCATTCTCCGCGGGACAGTACTTCGCAGCAAGTCATTGGGTCAGGCCTGTCGGTGGCACATGGTAAGCGAGCACTCCCAGATCTGCCAGCACAGACGGAGCCACCGCTTTGTTCGGGGAACGGCGATTCTCGGCCGTCTGATCCTTGACCTCGGGAGCCTGGGCTGATGGCTTTGGAAAGGGCTCCGGGATTCATACTGACGATAATGGCAGAGGGAGGACCATAGACACTTGACTTGCGAGCATGACGGTGAGCAGGATGATGATAATGATGATGGTTGTCATGACAGTGATCTCCCAACAGTGAGCAAGGTTGATATGCATGATACTGGCGACACTGATCATTGATTGACATGATGACGTGGTCACCATTGTCACTGCCATCAACAGCAGCGGGCAGCTTAAGGAGCAGGAACATCTGCAGTCAGCAGCAGCAGAGGAGTCGTCGTAGCAGTAGCAGCAGTAGTCCCGGAGTAGCAGATTCGGGCCGTGGCCTCACTCCAATGAGTCTAGTGACTGACTCTAAGTGCCGCTGGTGGTCGTCGTCGCCGGAGTTTGAAAGTATTGCTGCTAATATGACGGTTATCAATGAGCCCCACCACCATCGCCGCTGTTAATTGGTCCTGAGTGCTTGGGTTGTCGACATCCTTCCCTCCATGGTTATAACTACTTGCAATACTCATTCACTAGAAGTATTGCTAAACTGCCGGCGTAGTTGTGGGGTTGATGCTAGATTCAGGCAACAACTGCCTGCTGAAAACCGCAACACTCCATGTCTAGGTATGCGAATGTTCACACATGCCCGCAAGCAAGGTCCGTGCGCCGGAAAACTCATTGCTTCTCAGGGGCCATGTACCACGCCTCTATGTTTGGGGCGTCCCCATTCTCGGCTGCCAGCACCATCAAGTCTAAAGGTGCTATATTCCAGCTAATTGGACCAATGACTCGCAGCTTCCTTGACTTTGTAAAGCTGCGGCACATGCAAAACAAACACGTGAGGATGCCAATCGGCATGCTGGACGGAAACAAATCATGAGGATGCACGTCCGACTCGACTGACGGGTCGTCCTCCTATAATTACTTCTGATTCGCACCTTACAGCCCTTGTCATGCCGAAGATCCTTCCACAACCCTCTCATCCTGAACATTACTGCTACTTGTATGGTTGCGATTGTGAATGCCATGCTTGTACTTTGTAGAATTACAGCCCCAGGCTCTCACACGCCAAAGATTGAACTCTGCCCGGATGGAAAGGGCACCTCGAAGCTTTGGAGAGCGGCCGAGAGCGCAGGGGACGCCAGAGTCCCCACGTCAAGTAGACCCTGGCTGTTCTAGATTCCAGGGCTTTTAAATTGAGAGCTTCAAGTCTATGGAGCTTTAGCGTCAAAAGGGGTTTAGGTTGGATTCTTTGCGCAGCGATTCTTGCAGTGCTTTGTCCTGGTGAGGCGGTGAAAGTGATCACAGATCTGCTTATGTTCCACCAATGGTCCGCCTACCCCTGCCCATGGGTGAAATTGCATGGACTTTGCGCAAAGAGCAGCTGGCACAGAGTTCTCATGAAGCTCTTCTGCTAAATCAAACGTCTGCCGGTTTCACTCTGAGGTGACAAATCAAGCCCAGGCTCGGGAATTTCGAGCGTTGGGGGGGGGGGGGGGTNNAATATACACAGCAATGTTGACCTCAGAAGCCTGGAGACAAAGGAAAAAGTGACAGAATGCTCGAGCTTTAGCATGCCGATGGAACCTTCAACCTTTGAGCCCATACACGAATCCCTTGTGCTCTTCGGCAACGGTTGAACACAAGTCTTCCCCGGCGGCTCTAGCAAGTTCAGAACACACCCAACTAAGCTGCAGCTGCATCCCAGCTCTAAGCGCCTAAGCCTAAGGCTCGAGAATCCCCAGCCGAAGTACCCACTTTAAAGGAAACCAAGAATTTGGTGAGAACAACCGGGACGTGAACACAGGCCTCCTGGTAGCTTTGCAAGGCCCAGGAGCCAGGGGTAGGACTCAAGGTGCTCGGGTTCAGCCTCAGGCCACAGGACCATGCCGTGGCGAGAGACTTAGCGCCATCTTTAGTCATGAGTAGCATCATGTCACTGTTAGAAAGCAGCATCAGTAGTCATCTCAGTGGGCATGCAGGGGTTTCACCTCGAAATCCTTTGTGGTGAGTAGCGCGGCAATAACTGTCACCCCGACTGCTTCGGTTCTNNATACAACCTAAGGTTCAAGTGGCTATGGTTATGAATATGATGACAGTTTGTTCATGACTACTCTTACTACCAGCACTGCCGCTGCAAAATGCACATCCCGGACTTCTTGATCGGCAGTCGAAATAATCAGGGGAAACACAACCAACACTTCCCCATCAGTACCAACACTACATCATCCACACCGGCCACTGCCACACCAGCACCATGACTAACCTTCATCTTCTGTACTCGAGGATGGGGAACGCGGTTGGCATATAGTATAATATAAATATACACAAATACATACATTAATACATACATGCATGCATGCATACATACATACATACATATATATATATGTGTGTTTATGTATGCTTGCATGCATGCATGTATGTATATACATAAATAAATAAATATATATATATATGTATATAGAATATTCTTTATCATTCTAGTAATCTAGTATGTTATGTTGTTTTGCCAGTCTCCTGAAGCCTTACGGCCCTTACGGCCTCCACCCACTCTTAATCGAGGCTTCAGGGCTTCCTGCCCTGCTCGAAACTGGGCCCCTGTCACAGAGACCTTGAGACGATAACGCACGCCTCGCAGCGACAACTTGACGCCAACCGGCTTGGATGTCGTCGCAGTCTGCTCTAGATTAATCTATCCATCTATCCTACACACAGAGAGAGAGAGAGAGAGAGAGAGAGAGAGAGGTGGATGGACACGGAGAAGAGGGAGAGGGAGAGAGAGTTGAGAGGGAGAGGCAGAGGAAGAGAGACAAAGAGAGAGCGAGAGAGGGAGAGAGTGAGAGAGTGGGCGGGAAAGCGAGGGTGAGGGTGACAGAGGGGAGACACAGACAGACAGACAGACACACACACACACACACACGCACGCACATACATACATGGGGACAAGACACATGACAGCGGTTGAACCTTTGGATGGTTCGCTCAGATAGTCATGCTCAGATTTTCGGTACTGGCATATGATCCTGTTGCCGATGATGACGATGGTGATGGTGATGGTGATGATGACGATGACGACGCTAAGTATGATTATGCTGCAGCGACGGCTCCACTGACATCGATGGTGCCAGGACGAATAACTAGTTGCTACAGTAACCATGACGAAAAGCCGACGGTATAACAACAGCGGGCTGCTCTCCTCCGTCTTTCGACTTACAACTTGGATTTCTGATCCAAAGCACCCCCGAGACTCCCGAGCTGCCTTGAAACTTCTCCCTGCTTGAAACAGGTAGGATTTAGGGTTTAGGGTTCAGGGTTTAGGGTTTTTTTTTTCAGGGTTTAGGGTTTATAGATTCAGGGTTTAGGGTTCAGGGTTTAGGGTTGAGGCACCCGGCCTCCTGCCAGCAGGGAGAGCTGAGAGACGAAAGTCACCTTCAGTCTCTTCTCGCATCGAACTTGAGAATTGGGTTTAGGGTTTACAGAATGAGAGGGTTAAGGAAGGAAAGCCGCATGTCTTTTCGGTCCGCCACTTTCGGAGCAAAAGAAGGCTTGAGACTCACAAGAGTGATTGTGGGAGAATGAGGGGGGCACACATGTAATTATGGCGAAACTCCATCACATCACACGTCGAAGAATCCCAAATCAGCGTCTAGCGTCCAAAACGCCAAGCTGGCATTGTGTACGGGTTCCGCGCCTGAGAGCCGCAGACTCAGGAACTCCCCTAAGGAACCGGAACACAAAAAGCTCACTCCTAATACTATAGAAGAATTCAATGTCAGAAGCCAAGTCCCTCTGTACTGCCGGAGCCCCAAACCTTACGAGTACAACGCCTACGCCCTGAATGCCCGAACCCTGCGCCCTACCATGCTTCTGAAACTAGGGGACATCAGAGAGCCCAAGATTTCATGTCGTTGCCTCGAAACGATTCGTCGCAGGGCGCTCGCCGTCGCAAACCACCCCGGGCCTTGACTTCAGAGAGTACTCTATAGTAAATACCTAAATCGAACATGACACACATTATGTACATCTATACATCTATCTATATATACATACATGCATACATCTATACATCTATATATATATATAGAGATACTGCCGATACATGCAGTGTATGGGGTGCAACGGCAATAATATACTACCGATATCTACCCATACTACGCGTCTATAGACTGATGGCAATGACTTGTTCTTGGCCCGGCTTGGCCCACCCTCCTGGCTGATGCCAAGATGCGGGGGTGGAAAAGTCACCAGTTTTTGAGGCTCCTATGCTAGTTGATCTGTGACTACGAACACCACCAGGCAGCTTCCTCGAACTGCATGCCGTGACCATTCCGTACCTGGACGGAACCAACTTCCGTCCTGGCTTCGCTCTCACTGTTTAGGTGCCCCCACAGCTCGACATCTGCAGGCGTCTGTGCCAGACCGCTGCCGGACGCCAGCTGCTGAACCTGCGGTACCAACAAATCGCTTGTTTCTTGTGGGTTCATCTCGATGTATTATCAATGTCTTCGCGGTGCATCCTCGTTCCAAGTGCTGAAAACTGATGAGAAGATAAGCCCTCTGACAAGTTGCAAAGTCCTCATGTCACTACGAAAGCTAGCATGGCCAGAGCCAGTCAATCATCGCAAGACTACGTTCACAAGGATGGCGCGACTCGTACAAGGCTCCCCGTAGATCGCCATGTGTCTATCCTGCACGTTAAATCCTCGATCCTCAGGACCTATGGCGAACCACTGTTCAATCCTTACTGTGACGAATGACACATTGCGGTATGCAGGTGTGCGTGTGTGTATACGCGTACGTGAGTTACGCATGTAACAGATACATACACATGCCAGTGTATGTATGTATACACAGAAGTATATACATACATGCATACATACAAACGAACACACAAATATATACATCTTTAGAGAAACACAAGATTGTATGTACACTAATAAACAAACACAGTGATAACAAAATTCAACGACCATAAGCATAAAACAACGGAGTAGCTCCTT